GCTAAAGTTTCTTCGGAAAGAATTTTTAAGGAAAATTAACAAACGAACAGAAACGTAACAATACTGTTGTGGTCCTTACGAAATATACTAGATTAGGAACTATAGACGTAGATATGTGACATTAATTATGTGAACTGTATGAAGATTTAGAGGTCTTTTCTGCTCATAAACAGTAAATTATGTTTAGTCTTGAGACCTGTAAATGTTTGTTCGAATGATCTTGACAGATACAAAATGTGAACCGTGATTCTTTGCCCAATTGTAAATTTTCTGCTCTGTTAAGCAGAAGATCCAAGAACTTGTTGAAAACTTGTTAATGTTATCGTTTCTATCTAGTCTCCATTCAAGCGTAATGACATGATTAAACAGCTTCGGCTAACATAGTACTGTCAGAACAGAGTTCGAAGTGTTGTTCGGAAATAGATGTATCTAGGCCTAATATAGAAAAAATGTTCATGAATTTAATGAAAATAAACTTTAATCAATACAATATTCAATATAACATGCATTATTAGATTATGCAGCAATAATACCACAGAGGCTGTTGATATTGTTGTTTTTAACGGCGTTTTGTCCACTACGAGTAATAGATTTTATCATTGTAATTTCATAAACTGTTTGCTTACAGACGTACAACTCTAATATCTAGGGACACAACAGATGGCGCAATGTTCTTAAACAAAAGTTTCACCCAAAAGACAAGACAGAAGACAGAGTTTGTGAACACGTCGGAGTTAGTAATAAAGAAAATTTTTGATATCACTTCCTTAGTTTTTATTAATGTTGTCTTAAATGTCCTTAAAAGTGACTATAAATAACCGAGGGTTTTAGATTTGTTAAATTATCTGAATCAAACTTGTTCTGCAAACGTTTGTTTTGCACATAAAACACACGTGAAATGCTGATATGTTATAGTAATAACGAACTATCAACAGAGGACGGGTTCATTACAGTAGGTGATGTTGGTCTATGAAAGGACAATATGAATCATATAAATAGACATCTGCCTTCTGTACCTCCCTTGATATAACTAGAAATTTGTTGAGATGCTTGAAATACCAAAGCATATTACATTTTACTAAGAATAGAACTTAGCGACTAATTTAAGAAAAGCTGCTGCTACCTCGGAGATCGAAACTATGTTATTACAGAACGAGCACCATTTCACATGTTGTGTGTGTGTCTATCCGTGACATCAGTTCTCTTACCAAAGAAGGAGACAAAGAGCTGCTTAGCAGCTTAAAGTACAAAGATGCGCTCCCTCTGGTGGGCATGTGCTAATTCATTTAATAAAGGAACTTGCAATCTCCACCGTATCTTAAAATGGCGTACACGGTCGTTCATTAGATATATTTCTAGAGGACTTTAGAGAGTTGTACTCACCTTTATCTAGTTGTTACGGGGATCTTTTTTATTATAGTTGCCTATCAAAACATAACTTTTATATTGTTTGTTCAATACAGTTACTGTATATATTGCCTGTTTTGAGTCTGATCCACCGCAGAGTTGTATTTTTTTAGCACAATGCGCTACGTCAAACCGGATCTGTCTGGACCTCTTTTGGTTTATGTTGTCATCCATTCGCTAGAAGAAGCGTGGTTATCGACGTTCTTCATTTGTCATATTTATGTTTTATCTGACCTCAATATTAAAAGCTATATTAGACCTAATGAAAACTTGTTCACAAATAAAAACAACATGAAAATCACAGCTTAGTGTTCAAGCTTTGAAATGTAACTCCATAGTTTGATAACAGCTACCTTCTAGTATTGATCTAGTAACTCAATGAGCTTTTCTGGATTGAGTTTAAGTATCAACTCCATAAAACTGGGGTAAATAAAACAAAATCCCCTGTAACATTCTACATAAACTTTAGGCACTTTGTTTGTTTTTCTTTAGTCACTTTAAGTTTCTTTGTTTTTCTTTAGCCACTTTAAGTTTCTTTGTTTTTCTTTAGTCATTTTAATTTCTTTGTTTGTTTTTCTTTAGCCACTTTTAGTTTCTTTGTTTGTTTTTCTTTAGCCACTTTAAGTTTCTTTGTTTGTTTTTTCTTTAGCCACTTTAAGTTTCTTTGTTTGTTTTTTTTTAGCCACTTTAAGTTTCTTTGTTTGTTTTTCTTTAGCCACTTTAAGTTTC